TACTGTATATAAAAGTGTCTTCCCATCTAGGTACTATTTTATATTTCTTTTTTACCTCAGTCCCAACCACGTGCGGCTGAAGTAGAGCTAAGAAAATGTATGATTACTGCACCTGTAGACAAAAATTTTAATATATTATTTTTTTCTCAATATTTTTTTGAAATTTTAAAAAGGCCCCCACCCCCTAAATTGGCTACTGCTATTGATCGAATATCTGGAGAAAGAAATCTTGTTTGTTTTTACTCAGTGTACCAGCTGATTATAACTCAAAGGAAATACCGATAGCCATGACTGAATTTTACTGAATGAACTTTAATATGGTTAGCAATGGTGGTGGGAGGTGGTTATTGGGGGAGGGGGGAAGTAGGCAGGCAAGTAAAAAATGGAAATTATAGATGGTTGATGTCCAACACTTATAATTGACAAATAAAAAGGTTAAGGAACTGAAATGTTATTAATATTTATTTGGCATATTATTATGCATGCATGACATGTGGTCTAACTATTATACAGTCATAATAAAATCTATTTATAATATACTATTAATTTAAATTATTCTACGACTGTCTCTTATCGTAACCCATAAGTTTGGGCCGTGAGTGAATTTTTGAGGGTCGTCTGATCACATCTGGGTCTCCAAAAGTTTATACAGAAAGTCTTAAGTGTTAAAATTAAATACTTTAAAAATCAGAACATTCGATTCAAAACATCGAAACAAAATATTTTAAAAATAAAATACGGTAATTTGTTACAATTTTGGCTATTGTCTTCAATTTGCGTGCCTGCATGCAGTGTACTATAATCTCAGTCAGACCGCCGTTTGTTTAATAGTGTTTTTGTTTGGATGCATGTATCATGAATAGAGTAAACGACTCAATAATTAGCAGGCCCTATGCTATGATACAGATTTGAATCCTAAAAATAAATTCAAAAGGCGTCAAAATATAAGTTGAAAGATTTTTGATTTTGAGACTGCTCTAGTTTTTGCGATACTGTACAATGAAAAAAAAAACCCAAAAAACACAACACGGTACTCGACAATAAATAAAGTAGTAGTTCTACATCAGTAGGTCGATGCATTTCTGGTTCCATTCTACAC